TTATTACTATATTTCTAATGTCCAAAATTAATTTAGTTTGATTTAATATCAAATTATGATTAATTAAATCAAACTAAATTAATTTTTGACATTAGAAATATAGTAATAAATTTAATATATATATTAAATCAAGCTAAATTAATTTTGGACATTAGAAATATAATAATAAATTATATAGATACAATTATATAAATACAATTGAAAAATGTAGTATTGAATTATAGTTATAAGTAGACTGCGGATTTTTATGGATTTATGGAAAATTTAATGATAAAAGAAGTGCATAGAACGAGCATGATACACGAAAATATCGAAAGTATACTTTTTATATAATATTTAGTAAAAACAAACTTCTGTCTAGATTTTTACTTATTAAATTATTTTCGTAGAAATAGAAATTATACAGTATGTTAATCTTGGAAACATACAATCCTGCTCAATGATCTTAGGAGGCAGTTTTTATTTTTAATATTTCGTATTAAATATTCTGTGTATAATAACTTTCTCAGTTTTGAAGAAAATAATGATTGTATAATAAATCCACTACGATTGAAGTTTCCTCTTTATAATAATGTTTTAAAATTATATAATCTTTTTCACAGAATCATAAGCGAAAAAGGATTTGAAGTGTTAATTAAAAATATTTTCTACACTCAGTGTTCCACATAAACTATTTGTCTCCCAAAAAATTCCCCCAAAGTAACAAAGTTTTGCTATATTAACTCTTTGATGTGATTATTTATTCCTCCCTGAAACATTGAAGTTACACTTCAGGTTACATTCTAACATGACACTTCATACAATGAACAAAACAAGTAGGAAAAATTCAATCAGAGTTGACCAAGAACAAACTAGGAAAACAACCATAATTAAACAACCCCTTAAGCAAGGGGTTAAGATCGAACTTTCTTTGTATCAGATTTTTCTCTCGTTCTTTATAAAAATCAATTGCGCGGTTTAGGTCGCTCGACCTTCGATTCAGGATGTCGTCTCGTTGCGAAGGGTTAAGAGGGTGTTGTCGGATGTACCAAGGAGGGTGAAGCTTTTTACGAGCATGAATGACAAGTGACCATTTTGTGAGTGGATGGATCTTTAAAAGTTGAGGAAAAATATTTAGAATAAACGTGGCGTAGCATCGAACATGAATACTCTAGTATTATTATATTATTTATTATATTATATTATATTATTATTTATTATATTATTTAGTATATTATTTCTTGGAGTCTCTTTACTTTCTCAAAGCTGAGAACGTAACTGTTAATAAATTTAATATATCACAGTATAATATATAATTGTATGATAATTAATAATTAATCACATAATATATTGTTATATTGTAATAGAAACATTTTAATTACTCTATGACTTCTATCATTTTATTTAGAAATGAATTATTTCAGGGCCCTCGGCCGTACCGGAGATGGTTACTCGTGGACGAGGGAAGCTTGCACCAGCGCGAAAAGCTCCGGTCTTCTGGAGAGAAAGCAAGCGAGGGCGTGCAGAGCGGCGCCGGACGTGATGCCTAGCCTGGTGCAAGCGGCCAGGGATACGTCGACCGTATGCCAGCAAGCATTTCGACATCGTAGGTGGAATTGCAGCAGCATCGAGCGTGCGCCAGATTACACGCCTGAATTACTTACCGGTACGTTCTATATACAGCTCGACACCTTTTATTTAACACCGCGGAGATCAGTCACGAAACTGGCCCCCGTGCTCATCTAAGATTCTATTTCGTTTCGGCAGTGAGAAATGATATTGATGATCGTAGATGTCGATTTTTGATGAGATCTTTCGTTGAAATCGCGACGAGAAGAGTTATCGAGAGGAATTATCGAATAAAATATTTGAAAAATATATATATATATATATTTGTTTAAATAACACATCGATGTTATCTTGAAATAATCGTTACGTTATTAGCTTATTCGAGCAGGCAAACGATTTTTCTATAAATTATTTAATCGTTTGATTATATATAAATAAAATAATTTACCTCATTTTGTACATTTTGTGTCTGTTCGTTCAAATGAAACTTCACCTTCTGCCGAGATTATTTATTTCATTTCAATAAAAGATTGATTTCATCCGAAGTTTTTCTAAAGTATTTTTCAAATAAGAAACTAACGAAAATAATTATTTCAAATTATTTCAATTTCGAATTTTTTATTTTTATTCCAAATAAAATTTGCCCGATCCTGTTAGAGAAATAGAAGCTGATGGTTATTATTGAAAATGTACATTTTTCAAATTGTAGAAAGAAGAAAAAATAGCAGAAAGAATTTTCAGATTTTTAACTTGGAAATTTTATAAACTTAAAAAAACCAAAAGAAATGTGAAAATTCGTAATACACTTGAACATGATAGTCGCGTGTTCGAATGTTTTCATGATTCATTATATATTTATTTATTTATTGTTTAATCAATCTCGACCTAGTAAAATACAAAAATATAGAAACACTGTATAACAAGAATAAAATTTGTAGAAAGAAAGTTATATCGTATGAGCATGTAAATCCTGAAAAACAAATCAAGTTGAAATTAATTAAATGTTGAAAATTATTCGATTATACGAGCATAAATACATTTGATCTACAATAGTATTTAGCATAATTTAGCAATTCTCTGTTAGAGATTTTGTTCGTGTTGCATACGTAAATTATGGCGACGATTCGATATGATTCAGGGCGATACACCAAGTTCTCGTAATGTATTTGTTTCATGTTAATGCATGAATTGGCTGATCAGAGAAAGTGAACAACTGACATTCGCGAACTGACACGAACATGTCCCCAACATTAAATCCTTCTCTTTCACTCAGAAATCATTTTTATCGTCGTTCGTAGAAACCACTTCCTAGATATGAATTTATCTAAGCCAAAAATGAAAGTCGAGCGATGGTAAAAGCTTTGATTTCTAGGTGGATAAAATTATCGTAAATAATTTACAACTTAAGATATGTATATTTTTTTTTTACTATGGAAGAATCGAGAATAAAAGTTGATTTTTTTCTTAAATTTTTAAAATATCTTTCCCAATAATTATTATTTTTTTTTTTTAAATACAAACAATTATATAAAAAAGAATTTCTTATATTCAAACTGTTTCATTACATATTGTCCCATTCATCTCATCTCATTAATTATTCACAAAAAAAATCTTTTCCAACAATTGCCTGTTTTTTTTTTTAAATATACAAACAACCATTTAAAAAGAAACTTACTTGATATAGACAAACTATAAACACATGATATTTTTAATTAAACAAGTATATTGTATTTGCATGTAGGTGATCCAGAAACATTGAAATCTCTCGTATTTGCAAATCAAACTGAAATTATCAATTATAAATTATATTTTATAAAAATTTCAATCTCAACGTCTTCGAATACCCTGAAATACCTCTGATCGAGAACTTCTCACTATAGGTACCTCGTCTCATTGATTATTCACAGAATCCTTTCCAAATTTCTTCCCAGTAATTATCATCAAAGTAAAGACAACCAAACAATGTGAAACTCGATCTAACCAAACTTTAAACACAGTATCGTAATAAAGAAACGAAGGATCGTTTTCCAATAATTATTCATTTTCTCATTTCTCAAAGCGAAACCGAGCACACACAAAAGAAAACTACTCCAGAAAGAGAGAGAGAAGAAAGGACGCGAGCCTGAAAATAAGGATCGTATATCCTCGAAAATAAGGAAGGATATTTCACGTTAAATAGGAAGACCTTGAAGAAGCGGGGCTCAATTAGTGGTCATTATCGAACCCGGTGCTTCCTTCCTCTCTGGTAGCTCCAGCGAATGTCGGATTAACCGTTCACATTTGACGATAATTATATTGTAAATAAAAGTGTTTTCTCCCCTCTTCTTCCCCTCTCCGTGAGGGGGAGGGGGGGGAGGGCAAGAGAAGCGATCCTTCATTAATGAGAAAACCGAGAAGCCCGTGAGTTTCGGAGTGGTGATGAAAAACACACGGTTGCTCGATACACGCGGAGTATCGGCGGAGAGGAAAAGCCGCCCTTTCGCTATGCTAATCAGCTTTCCTTCAATTATTTCAAACTGGCAACCCAAGAGAGAGAGAGAGAGAGAGAGAGAGAGAGAGAGAGAGAAGAAGAGCTATCGTGAATGCGGCCTCTAAAGGCACCACGGACACGGTACCATTACACCGATTTCATTCGAGAGAGTCGACTTCTTGCCTCGTTAATTGCCCGCTTCGGAGATTTCTTATTGGGGAAATCTCGCGATGCGGCGTCTCGTGGCCGTCGCGCTCACGACCTTCGACCCAATTCACCCCGGAAGACTTTTGCTCTTAGCGGTAGGCAGCCGGTAAAGCTGCTTATGTAACGAAAATAGAATCAAACGCGAGCTTGTTAAGCAAATTTGCCAATGGACAAGGCGAACAATGGCCCGTTCGAAGAAAAGATTTAGCTCGCTAGAGTTTCTTCGGCTTCTCTCTTTCTCTCTCTCTCTTTTTTTTTTTTTTTTGGGTTCGTTGAGGATTTATGATGAATTTTGTTACTTCAAGAAGATTTAGGTGATTTTTGCTTGGGATCGGGGCAGAGATGATTCGTTGAAGCAAATTGATTTAATTTGAGTAGTTGGAAAGTAATTTCATTTATGTATTTAGAGATCGAATGAATGAAGTAGTTGGCATTTTTGAGTGAAATATTCTATAATTTGGTAATAATTTAATGCATCAAGGACATAGTCAACTTTAAATTTTTTTTAATTGAGCGAATAAAGAATATAACATTGATTGGAGTAATTTATTTATCGAATATTAATTTAAGTAAATTATTTATCGGATTAATTTAAATCATTGAATTAACTTTTGAAAATTAATATAGTGGAATTATTTATTTGAACGAAATTTTAGATAGTGCTCGATTGAATCTACTTATATATAAACTATTATAATGTGAACTATTATTATCTGAACTATTGTAATGTATTATTATAAACTATTATATATATTATTAATAATTAATGTGTAATAACTATTATATATACTAATGCATTATATATATTATAATTCACAAGATATAATCATATTAAATAGACTCTTATTATATAAATTTCATCTAGATCTGTAAACAATGAGAGAGAAAAAAAAATATTCTTTCGAATGTCACCAATGACCGATTGAAATGAAATGTTTTTGACATTTGATATTTTGATATGCAATATTCTGTTGTTAATTTATTACAAAGTATTACACGAAAGGCCACTTTCACGATATTAAGAAAATTACTAAATTACCTACAATTTCGCCCACGTGGCTAAGTTCCGACAGCTATTTACTTAATCTCGTTCATTTCTTGACACCAAAATGGCAAAAAAAAATTATAATTCACAGTTATTATTGTATGCGACGGCCCACCAGTTTAGTTGTATCATTCAGATATATTATCTGTTATTTAGATATTTTATTATAATTGCAACAATATTATATCGTTAATAACTAACATTAAAATAAATAAATAAAAGTGATCTAATTCCATCAATTCGATGTGCGTTCCAAAAAAGAAATGTCAAACAAATTGTTATTAAGTAGTATTACGTAAATATTTAATATAAATAATATTAAATAAGTATTTAATATTCGATATTAAAGTATATTAAATATTTAATATAAATAAATCAGATGGATATCCTCTAATCTGCAGGGACCAGAGAACAAGCATTCGTGTACGCAATGTCAGCCGCAGCTGCAGTTTGGAGATTAGCGAGAGGATGCGCTCTGGGCAGTCTGGCGGCATGTTCCTGCGCCACTCCACCACGTAGGGAGCCACTGTCACCGTCCGCCTTGATTTCACCTTCGTCCTTCACCGCGACACCGGTCTCCTTCGGCACGCTTTCCGCGAGGAACTCGTTCAAATGGGGTGGCTGCGGTGACGACGTTCGATCTGCGTCCAGGATGGCCAAAAGGTTCCTTCAAGGTGCTACACCCCCTGGCACCGGTGCAACCGCCAAGTTCATGCACGCTGTTAACATGCACAACAATCGAGCGGGTCGAAGGGTAAATAATCGTATAAATAATGTAGAATGATCACTAGCCGTCACAGACTTACGTACATTCAATTTCCAATGTCCGAAAGATCGACAATATTTAGATTGTTTAATTGTTTGATATAACAAATCAACGTATGCAGGTCATATGTGTGATAACGATCAGTTATTCTACATATTCTCAATTAAAATTAACATTTTTATGTTAATAACTACTCAAAATAATTTTTCTTATTTAATACGTGAAAGGATTATATATATGTATAGAATGCATTGGTTAATTTAACACGTTCCGTGCCATGTGTACCACCGGTGGTACACGTTAAACT